TGAAGTGATGTGCCTGGTCCACCAGTGCCCATAACGGGGTACACAATCCCCTGTCCTTGTGCTGCTTGGAATCCCTTTCTCTTTCGCCTTCCCTTATGCCCTAAACATTAACCTCATCCTTTCTAAAGGAAAAATAAGGACACTCACATATCAAGTGTGGGGAGTACAATATTCTGTGCTTGGTAATTTACCTTTCTCGAGGCTATTTGTCAAAATGTATCAATAGCCTTGGTATTCTGTGACCTGATGATTCTTCTGATGAATTTTTATCCTGCATATGGAGGTACAGAGCAGCTTGTAATCACTATGCCAAACAGCAGGGGACTGGTTAAGTAAGTCATGGTATGGTTACATGACTGCATATAGTACAGCTATTAAAAATCATGGTAACGTGCCAGTTTTCCCAACTGGCACTACTGGAATTTGGGGCTGGTTATTTCTTTGTTGTGGGAGATTGTTGTGTGTATGTAGTATGTTGCAGCATTCCTGGACTCTACCAACTAGATGCCCTCCGTTGTGATGATAAAAAATGTTTTCAGACATAAATGTCCCCTAAAGTCATTGGAACAGGGTGGAGAGGCAGATTGAGGTGGCAGACAAAAACTGGTTTAAACTATTTGACACACAGGGGCGCCTGGGTGGCTCAGTCGGTTGGGCGTCCGACTTCGGCTCAGGTCATGATCTCACGGTCCGTGAGTTTGAGCCCCGCGTCGGGCTCCGTGCTGACAGCTCGGAGCCTGGAGCCTGCTTCTGATTCTGTCTCCCTCTCTCTGACTCTCCCCCTTTCATGCTCTGTCTCTCTCTGTCTCAAAAATAAATAACATTAAAATATTCGACACACAGAATGTGCATAATATACTAAGTAGAAAATGTAGTTATAAAAAGTTTAATCAGTAGGTCTACATTATTTAAAATTTTTTTCTAATGTTTTTTAATTTATTTTTGACAGAGAGAGAGAGAGAGAGAGAGAGAGAGAGAGAGAGAGAGAATGTCAAGCAGGGGCAGAGAGAGACAGAAACACAGAATCTGAAGCAGGCTCTAGGCTCTGAGTTGTCAGCACAGAGCCCAACATGGAGCTTGAACGCATGAACTGCGAAATCATGATCTGAGCTGAAGTCGTTTGCTTAACTGACTGAACTACTCAGGAGCCCTAAGACTACATTATTTAAAAAACAAAATAAAAAGATGAGTGTGTATAAGTGCACACATGTGTGTGTCAGAGAGCGAGACAAGGAGATAGCTTTATTAAAAGAAGGTTTTCTCCAAAAATGACTGTTTTGAAAGGGAAGGGAAAATACCTATTAAATTTATATATTACAGGGTGCCTGGGTAGCTCAGTCGGTTGAGCGTCCGACTTCGGCTCAGGTCATGACCTTGCGGTTCATGAGTTCGAGCCCTGCGTCAGGCTCTGTGCTGACGTCTCAGAGCCTGGAGCCTGCTTCAGATTCTGTGCCTCCCTCTCTCTCTGCCCCAACCCACTCACATTCTGTCTCTGTCTCTCTCAAAAATAAACATTAAAAAAAAATTTATATATTACAAAATGTTGTCCAGAGGTCAATCTCAATGTCAAGCTATCCCGCCCATCAAAAATCATTTTGCAAAAGCTGAGAACTCACAGAGCTAGGGCATTCTACAGGGATGGGACCTCATGCATAACACTGTTCAGAGGTCAAGAGAGAGATAAACGGAATTTAATTTGGATCTCAGTTTACATGGTAATTAACTATAGCTACTACCACACATTTTTGCCTTCTGTTTCCTCTCAAATTTCTTAAGAAAAATAAATGTGTGAGATTTTGCTAGATTTGAAATGTTGTGAATGGAGTCCTAACTACTGGACATATTTGGATAAAATTCAAGTAAGCTGTTCTCTGTTCAAATTTTATATTCAATGACATGGAAACTTGACTGAAATAGAAACATCCCATAAAAGTACTTATAGTGTACCTGTGTTTTGCAATTCTATTAAGTTTAGCAATGTGGGTAAATGAAGAGATACATTCCCTGGATTGTATGAGAAAATAAGCCAACATAGTATCTTGTTCACTGTTGTGCCCCTGTGTAGAGAGGCACATAGCAGAGCTCACATTTATTTAATGAATGAATCAATGTTACAAATACGCTAATTATGGGCTAGGCACCTACACAAACTGTCTCACTGACCCCTGTAGCCAAATAATTCTATGATGTAGGTAATTGATATCCTTATTTCTACAAGCGGAAAAACTGAGGCTCAGTCAGATCAAATAACTTGCCCAAGGTCACAAGGTTAGTAAGCTCCCATTATGCAATGATTTTTCTAAGAATTTCATCTGTTAATATTATCTAGATAAACTTGGAGGACAAGCATAGCATGCTCGCTGAAAATCAGAGTATTAGATCATATCTTAGCCTCAATATCCATCCTATCTGTCCCTTCTTGTTCCACAAGGACTGAGTGGAAGGCTGAGACCTAATCCTACAGAGTAAGGTATTTCACTTGCTTTAACTACAAAATTTAGAAGGATTTTTAAAAAGATATTTACAACCCAATAATTATTTTAATATGTTCAGGTGTCACATTTTGTCATCAGAAACTTTATTACTAAAATTAGGAGTGATACAGGAAAGTCAAGATGTAGGAAAGGATGGTTTAATACATAAAAGATGCCCTTAAATACTAACTAAAATACAGATGTGACTAATTAAAATAACCTTATATTAAATCTGAGTTTTTACTTTCCTTTTTTGTATGGGACTCAACAATAGTGCTAAAAACCCATCAATAAGCCTTTAAGGCTGGGTTTCTCATAAAGCCTCAGAATATGGTAACATTCCTGGTAAACATTCCATACAAGCATGGCCTTTTTGTTTTCCAGTGAGGGCATGACACGAGTCTCCAGGGAGCGGCAATCATACAACACTAGAAGTCCGTGCCAACAGAGTGCCTCAAGCAAGGACAATTATGTCTCCAAGAAGAAGGAGGAGGTTAGCGAGTAGAGAGAGCGAGCACCCAGGAGCATGAGGGGAGGGCAAGAAGAGAAACAGAAGGAGAAGAGGGAGGATAAAGGTAGGCCAGAAGTCAGAGCGCCATCACTTCTCTCAGCAAGCTGGAGAGTCCACTCACCTGGTGAATGCTGTTAGAGCCAGGCATCCAGATAGGAAAAAAAAGGGGCCTTTCCTCACCCTCCATATTCCAGCCTATGCAATCTACCAACCCAAATTATGTAGACCAAAATAAAACAGAATGAAACAAAAGAAAACACACTTTATGTTCAGAGGCCATCTACACATTTCTTTTTACCAAGTACTTCTTAAATCAAGTTTAGCTCCTACTGAAAGTCTAAAAGTACAATGTCTGTTCATGAAAATAATAGCAAATGGATCCTCTCGTACAAGGGAACTATGTTCAAAATTAACTTTGTCAAAACGCTGTCAGAAACATTTTTTTTAAAACAACCCTACAGTTAAAAAGCTTAGCAATGCTGTTTAAATTCTTTTAAATGTTTGATCAGGAAAACAGGAGCTCAGTTAATGCAGAAATGAAACGCATGTACGTAGAGTTCTTCTAAGCCACAATTCAAGTATCTGAGGTAGGCCTTCAGTTTCCAAAGCAGTTACACAATCTTCTCCAATCATCACATTAGCCTTACGAAGTAAGTAGGAAAGATGTCATTATTTCATTTGGAAGATAAAGAGACAGGCCCACAGAGCTAAGTAATTTTTGAGTAAGGTCCAAGCTGGTGAAGGGTAGAATGAAAACCAGAATTTAGGCTTTAGGCTTTGTGGTACATGCCGCTTCTAACTTTCCACTTTCAAAAGTGTGAAAAAGACGCTTGAAAACCTAGGAATTTGTATTTCTTTAAATCATGCTCTAAACTGTCGTACGGCTACCTAAATACAAATACTTTTAGGTTTACGGTTTAAGTATGTAAGAAGACTCAATACTTCAAGGATAAGTGAGTCAGGTCATCTTTAATTTGTGAACGTTATTTATGAAGAGAGAGAGGGGAAGAGGATGGAAGACAGGAGGGAGGAAAAACGAAAGGTGGCCATTCATTCCCACACCGAGGACGTTCGGAAAGTAGTCACAAGAAACAGAGTCCCACAACAGCTGAGTTGTTGACATCTTTAACTCGAACTTTCAAAAAGCCTGGAATTTTATCTGTCCTGTACAATCTTAAACATATTTACTTCAGATATTTTGTGTGAAGTCCTTATGAAGTCCTGAATTTCTTAAACATAGCTTTGGATGACTACAGATATGCTTTACAAAGTATGACAGCTCCTCCAATTCACTCTTCCAAACAATACCTTCAGAATTTCCTGCTGCTTTTAACTCTCTTTAGGGGAGATAGGGCATATGCCCATTTCAACTATCTAATTTCAGCTGACTGTGCTAGGGCTTTCTTCAATGAAACAGATTCCCATGCTTTCTCATTCTACCAGAGTTCAGCCTGGCTCGAACTTTTTTCTATTGCCTATGCCAGCATTCCCCAAGGTGCGTACTGAGGACCACCAGTATTAACAGCTATTAATGACTTAATGTAGACAAACAAAAATGAAGAAAATCTTAACTGAACATGCATAAGGAAGCCCCCCTCTAAAGTCACAAAGGCTCTAAGAAATCTTGTAGTAAGGAAATATATTTATTTTTGCTTGATCCATCTTATCACATTTATTTGATTTGCACCCACTATAGCAAGAAAATCTTGAATCATCAAATTGGCTATACTAGATCATTTTCAGTGAAACTCAACTCAGAATAAGTAACACGTTAAAACATAACGCCCAGTATATATTTTTATCAATACATATATGATGTCGTATTAATCTTACCGAACAGTATTTCTTTGGGGGAGGGATATTAACATTACTTGTATTGAGGGAATTATTGATTAGTTTATTTTTTCTTTGACGGGGCTTCCTGGCTAATTAAACACTCCAATCAAAGGAGATAAGGCCTAGACTGACTATAAATTTTTGAATATTTAAGTGCAGAGCTAACACCGGTTTAATACCTTTTATCTTTAAATGCTAATTTCTCCAACTGGCTTCTCCAAATTATATCATCCTCTGTTTTATTGAAGAACATCAGCTTCACTTTCCTTAAAAGAAAAAACAACAACAACTCAAAAAGAACTATTTCAGTTACATTTAAAATATGCATGAATGGAAAAGTCTAAACGTAAACTGGCATGAATGTTTTTTAGTGCCAATTAGGTAACCCAAAGTATCAAAAATAAAAGAATCAAGTTAGTAAAACAGCTAGGACTAGAAGACGTAGGGTAAGGAAATGATAAATGAGGAAATGAGAATACGTCTATTAAGGTCCACTGAGTAATTAATTTAGAATACCTTACACTAATCTAATAGCCTCATAAAGGATAGTAATTAAAGATAAAGTTACATACCTGAGACTGGGTATGTTAGTCAAAGCATAATTCAGTATTTTAACCATTGGTGTGAAGCCTGTTCCAGCTGCCAATAAAAAGAGATCTTCTAATTCTTGGAACTGGGATATTTTAAAACTGCCCTCAGGATTGCTTACGGAAACAAAATCTCCTAAACAATGAAATATAAACTAAATCAGAAGAAAAAAAAAATCAGGGAAACTGACGTTAGCCTAGCTAAATTTAGAACACTGAGGAGTAACAGGATGAATTCATAACTTTCAGACTACATCTTAGTCTTTAAGGTATGTAAGGAGTTTGGGGAATACTCATTAAGCCCCCAAGTATGTCTGGATTATATCCTTATAACCAAATTAATAATGAGGTTTTATGACACTCATTTCCCAACATTATTTTCCCAAACCATCTGGAATCTCTAATTTACAAACCACTGACAAGCACTTAAGTACAAATTCTCAGTAAAGGACTGATTGCTAAACTAAATTATAAGCACCTCAAAAGCAGTGTCTATGTATACCTGTCTTACACAGTACAAGGTGGAGAATATATACTCACTGCTTACATATGGATTCTTAGCCATAGCAATAAAACTAGTAGGAGAGAAAATGGAAATAGAAAAGTATTCTAAAATCTTACGTTAGTAAATGTGCTAACTTCACCTTCATGAAATCTTTGAAAAACCTATTAAAACAACAGCTGTTCTGAATTGAACACCTATAAAAACAAAGCAAGATCAGAAACTGTACTTAGAGCATGCTACTTCTCAATCTAGAATAAAAATATTTGAGCAAAACATTTTCTGTAGTGCATTTTTATATAACCACTATGTACCACTCATATAAGAGAACTGCCTTTAAGACATTTCAGAAATTTTCAATGTAATTTTAAAAATAGAAAAGTTAAACATGTTTTAAAAACAATTTCAAATAATTTGCTTTATTTCTTTAAATGCTTGGATGTTCATAATTTTTCCTTCTTGTCCACAGCGGGATAGTAAGGATATTGCAGTAACTGATGAATTAAGTACTGGAAGGTAACAGAAGCTCCCCGTTATAGTTCAAAAGGACCATAAGATCAGAACATCTTCAGGAAAAAGTCAGCTGGTTGTTTACTAAAGATGCCTCACAGAATGACATTAACTTGATAACTTCTGTCAACAGTCCAGTCCTTCAACGTCATAAAACTAGACTCAGGCAAGATACCGGATTTTAATCAAGTTCACAAGATGTTAAAAGTATACCGGCCAGAACAGCAATTCATTTACAAAAGGCTATCTGTACCTAGTGACCTGAACATCACACACCCCTTCCAGGGTATCTCATTCTCAGTATCAGAACACTTGGAAGGCCAAAATAATCATATAAGAGTTGCTTGGTGAACATGGAGTTGAAACAAACACGTGGATAATTTTATAGCGTAGCTCATTTAAGCCATGATGAGGCTTTCATGAGTTATCACTATCATGCCAGTGTGTCCTTCCAAGGGACACAGGTATTGGGGCCATGTCTAGCTCCCCTGGATGAAACTGAAAAAACACTCATCTTATTTTTTGGGCTTTCCCTTTCATGCTCTAGGCTAAATCTCCACCCTGCTCTGTTCACATGATCTCTATTAAAAGGTTATAATAACACTGGTTCAGTTTCCACATGCTATCTATAATCACATGTCAGGCTACCACAAGATGATAGTCACCTTCACTAGATTTGCAGGGATTCCAAGATTATTTAGGTTCTGATTCATATTCAATATTTTGATCTTTGTAACCAAAGAGGACTAATCATATCCATTATGTAGAGACTGGCTTAACTTCCAGAAAGCAACAAATTTTATTTCCAAATTTTAATGACCTATCTCACTGGCACCTCGATGTTACTGCTAATGCTATGTTAAAAACAGGAAGGGCACTTTTACTGTCAAACAAAAGGCAGTGAAAAGTTGAATGAAGGTACAGAAAAAGGAATAGAAACAGGAACAGGGGTCTTGAAATCACAATAGATTTCATCATAGTCTTTTTATTAATTCTTTCAAAGTACACTTATTGAGAGCATATTATGTGCCAATTGCCATGCTGAGGTATAGGAACTATAAAGATAAGGAAGACAATCTTTACCCTCAAACTCAAAGTTTTGTAAAGAAGGAACGTTATTTATTCTTATCTGAGAACTATGAACAAAGTGTTAGTTACTGAGGGGTTCACAAGAAGGGCGGCTTCTAAAAGAAGTGGTATTTTGTTTGGGTCTTTCAAAAAAAAAAAAAGGTACCTGACAGGTAGAGGAAGGGCTGATGGGTGTCCTATGTGAGGCAACTGCATGTACCTATGAATGAGGGTGACAAGCTTGTGGAACTCTGAGTAGCATAAGTACTTTGTATTTATACAAGTAGTTACATGAGAGATGCAGCTGGAGAGATCATGAAAGTCTTTATAGGCCATGCAGAGGACTTAACCGTTAAGTAATGGACACCCGTCAGATGTCTCAAAGCTGCAGAGAAACATGATTAAATTTCTCCTCAGGGCAGCTTGGAAATGCAGATAAACAGAAACAGAAGGACTCCATTAGAGGCGACTGAGAGAGAGCAGTTAGAGGTCATGAGGGATGATGAAGGCTTGATCCGAGAAGGTGGCAGAAGGGAAGGAAAAGAAAAGATTAAAAAGCCACTGGGAGGTAGATTCACTGGACCTTAGTGGCTGACTGGATCGGGAGGGAGAAAATGGGAAGATTCAAAGATAACTCAAGCCTCCCGATGGTGTCAAAAATGAACTGTGATGCTATAAATAATAAAGATGAGGAATATGGGAGTAAGGGTAGATTAGGTGGGACAAAAAGAACACGACTTTGGTCTCAGACAAGTTGAGTCTGAGATATTTGATAGACTCCCACATGGATATAACCAGAGGATAAGTATAACACGGGCTCTTATCTAGAACAGAAATGAGGTTTAAAAAAAGAATACGAACCAATCTGAAGTTGATCAAGCTCTGGTGTGAAGAGTCCAGCAGGATAGATTTTGATCAAAAAGTAGATGTATTTATTGTTGAGAAGAACTGGTTCCTTGATCTCTGAGAGTAAGGAATCAGATACAGGTGTATATGGCTTCACAATTTCAGTACCTGGAAAAAGTCATGACACAGAAATTCAATTTTAAAAATCTCAAAAGCCCTGAATAAAGATGAAACATACAAATATTATGATGCTATCACTACATATTGAAAACTGTACATCTAATATGTATATGATTCTAACTATATATTCTCCCTAGAGATGCACACACATACTATATACAGAGAACATGTAGTTAGAATCATATACACATTAGATGTACACACACACACACACACACACACACACACACACACCTGAAGCTTATGCATGCTGAAATAAACTTAACAAATCAATATTTTACCCATCATATAAACAATGTACATTTATTATGTGCAGTATGATAGGGACTCATGGTAATAAATGTAGACATCCATCTATTCCATCAGCATATAAACTTTGTAATGGGCCACAAAAAAAAAAAAAAAAAGACATCAAAAGTTTACACAGAGGTGTAAGAAGGTACTTACGTAACAATTTTAATTATGCACCAAATTTTTAACAATGGTTACAGATGGCCATTGGGATTATTGGGTTAAGAAAGGGAAGAATTTCACTTTTTACTTTATACATTTTGAGCTGTTTTAATTTTTAAAATATATTGCTTTGGCAACTGAAAGAAAAAATGTTAATCCAACTACTTCCAACAATATACTATTAAAAAACACGAATCTAATAAGAATTTGTGTTATATTTTAGCTAGCCAAATTCCAAAGAAAGAGGAGTCCCCACACATTTTTAAGACCAGAATTTTATACATGGCTCCTTGACATCTAAAAATTGATCCACCCGTAAAATTATAATACATCGACAATGACCACACTGGGAAGACAGCAGCTACTGACTGACAGCCTGGCACTGGTGATGGTGAGGAGGGAAACTTAATAGTGCTGTGGGAACCTACTGTACCTACCAACCCCCGGCTGGCAGTCTGCTAGACTGACTGCAGGGAAGACTAACTGACATGAGAATGTGACCTTCTGCAGCTTCAGAAGGCCAAGAAAATGTTAGAAGGATAAGAAGGGTATTTGAAATGAGTAAATGAAGTAACTTTAGGATGAAAATGAGGGAGAAAGAATTCAAGTAAGGACTATCTTTATAGAACTTCTTATACTGGCAGCACATGTAAGGAAATCATTTCTAATCATCACTCATTTTCAGTTTTACACATTCAACTTCCGAAATGACACAACCATACGTGGTTACTAAGAGATACTGGGATGTGTTTCTAGTGGCTGTCTCCCTGAAGGACCACTTAGGCACTCCCTCCCCTCTTTCCCTTAGTGTTCTCAGTAATAAGTAACCGTGCTGGTGGAACTCTCTCTCTGACCGGCAGTTTCTTCGCTCCCTACGGTGATAAGGCAGGGCTGCGGCTCCAACACGCAGGAACGCTGCATCTACGAACCTAGAACCTGGCTATTAGTTGCCAGAAGCATTTATTAATAACCTAAATGGTTACTTCCTAAAAGGATTAGTACTGATTTGCAACTGCTAATAAGGAAAGAAACGGTTTCCCCAAAACCTTTATTTACCTTACCTGTAATAGTTAACTTGAGGTAAACATGTTGCCCAACTGGCACCTGAAGATGAGTGCTTGGTGGCAGCATCAGGCAGAAAAGCTTCGTATCATGAGTAACGCCTTCCTTGGAAATTAACCGGCACTTTCTGTAGTATAAACCTAGAAAGTGATTCATTTTCTCTCATTGATAAATAAATTAAATAAAGTAACACTAGACTAAGTGAAAGCACAGATTCAGCTTCTATACTTAGGCAAGCTCAAATTTCACTAAAATGCCTACATGCTTTAAAAATGCATCAGGGGGCCCCTGGGTGGCTCAGTCGGTTGAGTGTCTGACTTCGGCTCTGGTCATGATCTCACGGTTCGTTAAGTTTGAGCCCCATGACGGACTCTGCTGACAGCTAGCTCAGAGCCTGGAGCCTGTGTCAGATTCTGTGTCTCCCTCTCTCTCTGCCACTCCCCCACTCACACTCTGTCTCTCTCTCTCAAAAATAAACATTAACAATAAATAAATAAATAAATAAATAAATATTCATCAGTAGTTTGAATATCTGAAAGTTGGAAATTTTTTCATTTTATTTTCTGAGATATCTATTTTTAAAACTGTAAATACCTCTGTAGTTTGAAAAATGACTTCACTAAGTCTTATTTCCTCATATCTGTAATTATAACATATTAAAAGCATTACATTCTAAGAAATTAAAGCCTAATTTATTTCTTCTTAAATTCATTTTAATAATTTCATTTTTTAAGTCTTATATTCACAGCTATATAATTAAATTACAGATGTGAAAAATATTTGATAATCAACAAATCTATATTCTAAAGTCTTTTCTTACCAAATGGTCTTGAAATTCAAAGTATTTAAGGTTTAACAATATCAGTACTATTAAATAATTTGGAATTATTTCTTTGATAAACACAGGAAAAATATACATTCTATTTCTCTATGTTTATGTATATATGTATATAAATTATATAATTTTAACTGTTAAGAAATGATTACAGCAAAACTTTTATATATAAGGGTGTAAGTTTTCATTATTCAAAAAATTAATTTAAGAGAAAAATGAAAATTCCCAGTTTGTGGTACTAATGTATAAACAAATAAACAGAAAAAAGTATTTCTATAAATTTTGAAAATATTTGAAATTAATATCCCAAGCTCAGGAAATATTATTTGTACATAGAACAAACTAATATCATTTAAGTTAGAAGAACTTGTTATTGGAATTCTGGAAGCATTAACATTTTCACTTACAAAATTCTTTTTTGGACATAAATAGTACACCAGACAGACTGATGATGCTGGTTTGTTTTGTTATTTCCTCTCTTATAAAACAGCATTTACAGAGATGGAAAGGAATTAACTCTGATAATTTCTTATCCTAATTATTCTCTCACCTTTTTTTTTTTTTTTTACACCTAAAAATATTTAAGTAGGTACAGATTTACTCAAGATTTTAGGGGGTGAAGGCCCAACACCTAATAATCAATAGTGAGTGGAAAACTGAAATTCACTTATAATCCTAAGAAATCATTTTGGCCACAGTATCATCCAATTTCTCATGTTCCCTTGTCCCTGTGGGCCCTAAAGACCCCAGTCACTAAATCTTTCCACTTGCTTCCATGGTAGCTCAGCACACACCTAAGTTTCGAGTATAGCACTGCACACCAAAACCAAGGGGCACTCTTTGGGTCACCTCATTCTAGTGCCAGGGCATAGCTTGGACCAGACTACAGCTAAAGGAATCACTGTAAAGTTATCCTAGAGCACCTAATCCAGTATTCAACTGACAAAGGATCAATGGACATAGGCTTACCCACAAGGAGAAATGCAGGTTCAAGTGATCTCCTTGTCCCTTCCTTTCTGGGACTCAGAGTGAGAATACAATCAGAGATCCATGTACTATATGTCTAAACATTTAAAAGTTATAAATTAGATGAATAACTGTTAAATAATGTCCTAGCAGGTGAGGTTTAAATTCAGGATTCTTGAATTTCTCGGAGTTCCATGCAGGAAGATGGCAGAGGATGGGAGCTGCACCCCCACTGACTGGCTATGGCCTGCCCCCCTTCTCCTCTCACCCCCCACCCTGTCTGACACTGAGTGGAGCTTTATGTGGGTGTGGATACACATCCCCTATGTTTAAGCTCATCTACTTGCTTTCCTCATAAACAGCCTTGGCCACTCCTTGAATGCAATCGGATCTGAGGACATGTGAGCATGAATTCTGGCTCAGAGTGCAGTATTGAAGGAAAGAGGGTGAACAGTAGGTGGACATTTCTTGGCCCTGCACACTTCTCATCCTATGGGAGGGGTGTGACTGGAAGAGAGCCACTGGGGAGTTTTCCAAGTCTGGAGTCCAGGGCAAGTGCCTGTCTTGCCTAGGCCTAAGGGCCTTAGTGCTTTCTTATAATGAAATGTAATCATGCCCTTCTGAAAACTTTACTGATGGATGAAAAGGTTCATCCTCTGATGACAATGCCAACTCTAGTGTCTGCCAGAAAGGATGTGCTACAGGAAGTATGCATCTCTTCGATTATATTTAAAACACAACAAAACCCTGGGTTACAGTAATTTACTGACACTTCTTGTTAGAGTTCATAGAGTATTCTTGCTATTTAACACCAACGAAATAATTTCAACATCTTGCCTATAAGTCTGCTATAATTTCAAAGAACATCCAGATTCTAAAAATTTCAGAAACATTTAAGGAAGCTTTTATCTTTTAATTATACTGAAGAGAGAGACAGCATAGACAGATGGCCCTAAAACATAGGAGGAAAAAAGACTATGAAGCAGATGTGCTGACTAGTTCAGTCTGCACAATGCCATCATTTAAGTGTCAGGTTTTTGGCTTCGTGAGCATAAATAATTAGACAAGAAAATGAGAAACTGAAGTAAATATAAGATGGTGAAACAAAAGCATGCGACAGAATAGTTTCCATCCCAAACACCTCACTTCTTTTAATAACATACATATGATATCACTCAGGGTAATACTGAAATACTAAGGCCAATATGATAATTTGGGCATACTCTTTCCTTCTGGTTGAAAAGAAACATGAAAAACACGTTTCTTCTGTTCTTCTAAAGAAAAGAATTTCACAAGGCTAAAATCCAGATGAAGTCTTCAGTGGGAGAAGGAGCAGAGAGAGAACCCTGGTTTACGAGTTCACACCGCCATCAATCTGGTCTTCGACTCCTACTCCAACTTAGCATACTTTTAAAGCACCTATCCACTCTTATTTTCCCTACTGGAAACAGAGGCTTGTAGAAGGTAAATAGCTTGTGCAAGGTCACAGAGCAGCTGGAGAAGATGTGGAAAGAGGCAAGAAGTTATTAATGAGTTTCTTACCCCAGTTCATAAGCTTTGTTCAAAAAGTGTGAGAACCACTGTTCAACACTAGCTTATGGCTCTTTAGTGCCTTCCTCCCCATTCTAACTATGTCAGTACAAGCACAAATTTATAGATTATCCTTCTATCCTTTACAAGTTCCTACTATATAATGTACAAATTAAGGAATCAGTTCAGCAAGTCAAGATTCATCCCACATATATCTCTTTTTGAGTATCCCCATTCTCTTCTGTTTTGATCGATGATACTTCTTCTTAGCACTCATTACTACTTTCAATCACCTAAATGTCATTTACTTACCTCCTAATTTGCTATCTATCTTTACTCATTGATTCCTCCCAGATCTTCCTGAACAACATAGGGCAATCAGTTAGTGGGACTACATACTTAAAAATGCAGTCTTGGGGGAAAAAAAACAACCCAAAACATACTAACATCTATAATACTTAAAAATATATGTACGTACTAAATATGTCCATACAGGAAAAAAAACCACAACTTACAGCCATTCAATCCAACAAACATTTCACTTAGAATCTGTCACAGTTCATACTGTAGGGGCCTTGCTAGCCATCTGTTTGTGCCAAGACAGTAACCTTGATGAGCAGTGAACCTTGATAAGCAGTGAACCTTACTGCACGGATGATGTTTAGAAAACTTCAGTATAAACTATTTTCAAGCACTGTACAAATGTATAACATTTTGACTACTGATAAAATAATTCAAACTTATGAAGTCATTAGAATATCTTCCTATACTGAAGAAATAACAAATTTGAGTTATACTACTTTTCTTTTTTAAGCTTATCTATTTATAAAAGAGAAAGAGAAAGAGAAAGAGAAAGAGAAAGAGAAAGAGAAAGAGAAAGAGAAAGAGAAAGAGGAAGAGAAAGGGAAAGGGAAAGAGAAAGAGAGAGAGAATGCCAGCCAGGCACAGGGCTTGATGTCACGGACTCATGAGATCATGACCTGAGCCAAAATCAAGAGTTGTACACTTAACCAACTGAACCACCCAGGCGCCCTGAGTTATATTACTTTTAAAAGAGTTACATAACTGCATTTATTTTGTTGTTTTTAAAAAATTATTTAGGCTTTTCACTAATTTTGATAAAACTTGCACGTAATCTCTAGTAGTACAGTTTTAATATCCTCGCCCAAACCATTCTTGTATATATGAATAAGAATACATTCACAACCTGTCTTCCAACGCTAAGGATGACAGTTATCTGTGGGCATACATCTGTCTCTTCATATACTGGGGTAAAACACAATGAAGCAGAATGCTCAAAAACTGAGAATTTTCATACATAATTGGTAATTTAGTAATATCAAACTGATAATAAAACACAGATTCCTCTGTCTTAGCTGTTAAAAAAAAAATTCCTAAAGTTATACTAAGATGTTTTACTACCTTAGACTGATGAGAATTAAATCTTTCAAAGTGAGGATTTTGTGGAGTTAAACAGTAACAGTGAACAGTAGTAGAAAGGTGGCTCTTTCTCCAAGACTAGATTCAATGGAGTCTCAGACCACACACCATTTAGCAAGACTGTCACTAAACTGGAACACTTCTATATCCATCACCTTTCTTGTCTCGTTCCACAACTAATAATGCAGCCAAACTGTATACTCAAGTACCTGAATCACCTGAATTCTAAGGTTTTAAACTTCTTCCATTTATCTCTTAACACAATAAATAATTTCTTACACAGTTACAGTCTGCCCCATCTATTCTGTGTTTCTTCAGATTTCACGCTTGGGCCATTTTGATACAGATGAAAATAAGACAGCAAGATGC